TCAAAAGTTTTTCTAGCTGAAATCGGTTTGGCTCAGTGGATAGAGAGTCGGCCTGCGGACTGAAAGGTCCCAGGTTCGATTCTGGTCAAGGGCATGTAGCTTGGTTGCAGGCATATCCCCAGTAGGGAGTGTGTAGGAGGCAGCTGATCAATGTTTCTCTCTCATCATTGTTTTTAACTCTCTATCCCTCTACCTTCCTTTCTGTAAAAAATAAATAAAATATATATTTTTAAAAAGTAAAAAAAAACACACAAGTTTTTCTATAGCAAGAGAAGGAGGAAAGGGGATTGAGGAAGTGAACAACTCACTCACTTTGCCTCTTGTATTTTTTTTACCCTAAAGAATAGCTCCCTCCCCCAAAGGGCACCCTCCCTCTTATAGGAGGGCTCTTTTTCCTCTTTGCAGGCCCCATGATGGTATAGATTTTATCTGTGTGTATGTGTGCATGCGTGTAAAAATCAGTGTTCCTTCTGGGGATAGTTTGATTGATGTATACACTGGAAACACCTTTAATAATTTAATGCCTACTTCAAAGAAGATTATACCAAAAAGCACATTGCTTTTCATTTATTCATTACAGATCTGTCATAGAAAAAAAATTTTTTTGCCCTGAATTGTAGTGTCATAGTAATAATAAATTTTGTTTTACACTCAGGATATTTTAAAGAATTATAAGCCTTTTAACAAAAGTTACTGTCTTATTTAAATTGATCAAAATGATATTTCAGCACCATAATCTTGCACTTCTTAAAGCTGAGCTAACCAGATGTGGATTCATTTGATGACTACTGAAATAGCTGTTCTGGGGAAGTTTAATACAAATAATGGGATGAAAGCATAATCCTGCTTGTTAGTGGTGGTGGTTATAATAGCAAAGAGAACCGAGCTAGAATTAGGGGCTTGGTGTTTCCTTCTCCTTAAAAAGAGATTAGGGTATTCACCAGCCTTTTGAATTAAAAGGAGAAAAAAAGTATATGTGTTTGGGAATTGGGAGTGAAGAAAAGGATAAGTGGGAAAATACAAAACTAAAAATCAACACACAATTGTTTTTGCAACTTACAGGTATAGATTCAGATGTCAAGAAAGGAAAACAGACTTTTCTCCAGTTAGACAGAAGGCAATCACCTAAATAGACTTTAGTAAGCTTGTGTAATATATTCCCAGAGAGTCAGGGAACATATCCACATTTCTAAATGGCTACAGTACATTTTGAGGTTGTTGGTTTTTTTTTTTCCCCTGTTATTATTCCTGATTTTTTTTTTTTTAGAACATAACTTCTCTTTAAATCAAAACCCAAATTTACTCTGAATAGGGAACTTTAGGCACAGTGGGGATTATAACAATTTTAGGAGAGTGCTTTATAATTATCCAATTCTCAGAGATAATTTAAAATGGAATCTCTGATTGGCCATTAGTGCTTTAGTATTTCTGGATTTTTGAATGTACTGCTTCAGGTACTCGTCTAACAAACTCTACAGTTTCCTCCCTCTAACACACCATAAATCTTCAACAGAAATCCAGAGATGTTTCGTTCTCAGGTTGGAAATTCTTTAAACAGGAAAAGTAATGCTGCCTGCTGCAGATGTCAGGCTGACCATTGCAAGTATAGCCAAACCTTGTTTCTCAAATGTCTCCCATCTCGAACAATTCGGTTCTCAACCAAGTTGTTCACAGAAAAAATGTCTTGGTTGTCCAACCAGAGGTCAGTTGTCTAACTGATAGCCCTTTCATGCTGATGCCTTAGCACCACAAAAAGCATCTCTCAGGCAACAAACAAAGGAGAGAACACTTTTGTTGCCTGGGAGTCAAGGATTAGCACAATTGGAAAGCATAAAGAGGCCATCAGAAGTGCTAAGGTTGCTAAGGGTGTGAAAGAAGCAGTGATCACAGGCAATTGAAGAGGTAGAAAAACTGTGCTGGTTTGGATAAACAAAAGCAGGTAGCCAGTGACAGCCTTTGGGAGGCAATGACATGTGAACAAGCAAAGATGCTCCATGCTGACCTGAAAGACACCCCTGGAACAATGCTGAATGTGATTCCTTTAAGGCTAGTAGGGAGGGGGCTGGTTCCATAAATTTAAGAAAAGAAGTATTTATTTATAGATTAAATAGTACATTAGACATGTACTGTATATAAGGAAGGTTAAAACAGGGAATCATTTGAGGGTCTGGAACAGATTAATTCAATTTACATTATTTCTAATGGGAAAAATGATTCGGTTTTCAAACAAATCCTTTTGAAAAGCCTTCTGGGATGAATTAAGTTTGAGAACTGAGGTTCCACTGTACACTTGAGTGTGCTTAAAGCAGCATTATCTGTGTGGTTTGTTTAAGGGAGAATAAATACCAGAACTTCAGGGCAAGATCACCTTGGGGTCAAATCCTAGCCCTACTTGCTTACCCGGGTGTGATGTTAGAAGTGGTGTGTGATTCCTTATAATAAAATGGGTATACCAAGTGTGCTTAGTAGGGTCACTGTGAAGGTTATATAGAATGATGAATGCATAATTACTGAAAATGTCCTTTGGCACAGACAGGTGAAGGGTGTGCCTCTTGTCTGTTATTTTTACCCACAAAACACCATTGGCACCAGGTTTTGGATGTCTCAGTGACTAGCCATGTGACACCTGGCAGCAGGCTGCCACACCCCATCTTGGATATCCCTTTCCTGCCATACGCTCTTATTGCTTCTCTCCTCATGCCCTGTCATAGCATGATTGTTTCTGTACTGCTCTGAGCTTTTTTTCTGTCACAGACTCTGTTTGTCTCTGAATGCCCAGTATCTGCAGTACTGCTTAGTGAAAACCAGTGCTCTATGTCCACTTGCTCGAGTCATTGTGATGAGAGCCCCCAAATGTCTGGCAGGGTCCCGTGGTGAGTATCTCCCTAAATCTCCCAGAGCCACCAGGAAAGGAATATGCTCCCCCCAGGCCTTGTCCTGGCCTCCTCTGACATGTGCATGGAGAGCCACCAGAGTGTTTCTCAGACTTGGTCCTCATTCAGCTCTCCCCAGTCTGAAGTCCCCTCTCTGACTTAGTGTCTTATTGGGAAAGCCGCCCCCCCACCCCCCGCATTTCAGGTGTACCCCCCTCAAGGCTTTGCCACATTTGTTCTAGAGAGAGGGTGGGACATGGGTGTGGAGATGGGAACATACTGTTTTCTCTTTTGGAACTTGGGTGTTTTTTTTCTCACCGTTATTTATTTTGGTCTTAATACATAAACCCCAGAATTCCTTAGCAAGCCCTGTGGTTACATTTCATGAACCTCTTCCCTTTCCAAGCCACCTGACCCATCTACTCCCTTCCACCCCAGTTTCTGGATTGGCCTTCTCAAGGGCCCTGCCCTGGGCAGCATGCTTCGGTGTGGCTAGGACCCTGCAGATGCTGGTTCACATTAGGCATCCGGATGAAAATTTGAAAGACACAGCCTCAGTGTACTATTAGTCTGCATGATGATAAACACTGTTTTCTGTACTATCTCAAAATCAACTATTTTTTCTCTTTCATTTAAAAAGTGCATCTTTGATGTCATGTAATTAAATTTGAGTCTTTATTTTTGATAGAATATAGGAATTCACGGTTCAACACTTTCTTCTTCAAAATAATGTAGTGTGGAATTTGTCCTGAACTTTAATCTACCCGTCCTCATTTATACTATCTTTACTTCAGAAACTGAACGCTTGTGTTCACTTATTGTGTAAATTGTCCTATAACTAGTCTTTTGGCACTAAGAGGAGAACAGACTTCCAGAGCTGGAAGGGAGGTCAGGGTTCATTGTGTCTCAAACCCTCAAGTAACAGATGACAGAGTATTTAGTGCCCTGTACAACCCTACACAGTGAGAAAGAGGCAGGTCTGAGGTCCTAACATTCTGAGTTTTTTTTCTATCAATACTTACACTTTAAAAAAGAAACACACAAAACGCACACATTTTATTGGAGGCAATTCAGAAATAAGATAACTTTAGGAAAGAATGTATTATAACAAATGGGAAGGGATGGAGATATATATATATATATATATATATATATATATATATATATATATATATATATTTTAAGATTTGTGATGTGCCAGGCACTGTATATAACTTATTTCATTTGATCCCCATGGACGTGTTATTATATTTCCATTTTATAAGTAGGAATCTGAAACTCACAGAAGTTAGGTAAAGCCAGTAAGATCCTGGCCCGGACTTTATCCCAGGTCGTTCTCTCGCCAAAGTCTTGGCTTTAGAACTCAGCCTCCTGCTCTCTGTTAAAGCAGGCTTATATGTATCCAAATAACAGTAAAAATGCCTAACTAGACTTTATAAAATACTTGAGCATTTATTACTTTTTACAGAAGGGACTAAAAGCTTCTTGGTCTCATATCTACATAACAGTCATTGTTGATATTGGAGGTATACGGTCAACTTCATTGGGCATTGTGTATAAAGTGTCTGAAGCTCATTAGAAAACCTGGTGGGTTCACATTCTGGTGCCATCAACATTGCCTTTTTTGTATTTAGAGATATGAATGCACACTAGGCACTAAGTGGTGAGTATGATATTATCTCCTCAGAGAATTTCCCTCACTTCCTCCTCAGGGCCAGACACTCCACTGGACATCAGCCATGGATGCTGCAGTGTGGTTTCCTTTTTACCATGGGTGTTAATAGCATTGGTTCTGGAATTACATGCTTAGATCTAATTTTGGCCCTTCCATTTGTAAACAGTGGAACCTTAGGCTAGATATTTGATCTCTTTTTATCTTAGTTTTCTCACCTGTAAAATAGGAATAAGACCAACCTCACAGGATTATCATGAGGATTAAATGAGAATATATTTGTGAAGAGTGACATTCAATAGGCAGCAGTAAAGGTTAACACATTACATACATTAAAGTCTTTGTAAATGTAAGGAAGTATTACTTGACTATAACATAACTATTAATTATTATAATGTGTAGAAAATAACTGTTGAACTTCTTACTGTTACCCATTATTTCTTTTGATCCATCAGAGGCCAGCAGAAATAGTAGATGAGGAAGAAGATGGAGAGAAGGAAAGCAAGGATGCAGAAAAGAAAGAAGAGTTTTCAGGAATGAATGGTGAAGTTGAAGAGGAAGGAGATGGGGAGGCTACAGAAGAGGAGATGGCGGGGCACGTGGAGGAGGAGGGAAGAACCACTCGTGTTAATGGAGGCACTGATGAAGAAAATGGTGAGAAAATGGATCCGGTCAGTAATAAGCTTCAGGAAGCAGTGGATGAGGAAATAAAGTCTCAAGAAGCTGGCAGTGGACAAGAGGAGGTACTTCTATTGCTTTTGCTCTCCTGTGTGTGTGTGTGTGTGTGTGTGTGTGTGTGTGTGTGTCTGTGTGTGTGTGTGTGTGTGTGTATGCAATTAGGAAATTATTCATGCACTTAAGACTTGCATTGAAATCACTTGTAGAATAGGGAAAGATCTAATACTATTTATTTCACTATATTATTTCAATAAATTAAGAAGGGCTGTTGTTCAGCCAATGTGGCTCAATTGGTTGAGCACCATCCTATGCAGTGAGAAATCACCAGTTTGATTCCAGATCAGGGCATATGCCCTGGTTGTGGCTTGATCCCCAGTAGCTATGTGCAAGAGACAGCTCATCAATGTTTCTCTTTCATTGATGCTTCTATCTCTCTCTTCCTCTCCCTTCCCCTCTTTCTAAAAAATACATAAAAACATGCATACATACATACATATTAAAAAAAGAACTGTCAACCACTTATTTGATAGGATATAGGAATTCATGGTTCAACTCTTTCTTCTTCAAAATAATGTCCATTGATGGTATGTGAGGTCTGAAAGGTTGGTGACCACTGGTTTAATCAAACCAAGAACATCATCTCTATTATGTGTGTTTCTTTGTTCTCTAGAAATATTAAACTTTAATTTGGTTAGCCCACTTTAAATGGATTAAGTCCACAATATCCCAGGCACTTAATAATATATATTTCTATTCATTATGCAGTGAGGGTGAAGGAATATGTGCTGAAGCCTCCTTCCCAGCCTGTTTTTCCAGCACATCCCTGGAGCAGGATATTCTCAAGTCCTGGCATTCTTCCATAGAATCACATGAAACTCAATAGGATAGATTAATTTAGATGCTTTTGAACAGGCTAAAGTCGAGTCTCATAGTATAAGAGGCTGTATACTCCACAGCATTCTCACTATCTGCTGTTCTGCTTATGCCTTTCTTTCCTGTCTATCCATCAGCTCAAGGCCCACCTCCCTCAAAGCTGTAGCCTCTAACATATAGGCCTTGGTCTGTTCATCCCTTACAACCCAGTATAGTGAATGGGGTCTTCTTGATTACTTATTAATGATTTATGTCTGATCTTTCTTAGAGAGACCAAGTTTAGTAATGGTAAAATGCAAAATGTTTTTGTAGTCAGGTTTCAGTAACTAGTACAGAGTTAGATATAATCTACTGTATGGCTTATGTAAAAACTTCTTTAAGCGCACACACACACACACACACACACACACACACACACAGACACACACACAGATTAGAGGCCCATTGCATAAAATTCATGCATGGTGAGGGAGAGGGGGAATCCTTCAGCCCAGCCTGCATCCTCTCCAATCTGGGACCCCTCTCACAATCCAGGACTGCTGGCTCCCAACTGCTTGCCTGCCTGCCTTCCTGATTTCCCCTAACCACTTCTGCCTTCCAGCCTGATCACCCCCTAACCACACCCCTGCTAGCCTAATTGATGCCTAACTGCTCCCCTGCCAGCCTGATTGCCCCTAACTGTCCTCCCCTGCAGGCCTGGGTCCCCCGTCCAACTGCCCTTCCCTGCAGGCCTGGTTGCCCCCAACTTCCCTTCTATGCCTGCCTGGTCAATCTTAATTGCAGGTTGATTGCCTTTAACTGCCCTACCTTATAGGCCTGGTCCTTCCCAAATGCCCTCCCCTGCTGGCCTGATAGCTCCCAACTGCCCTCCCCTGCTGTCTGTCTTGTAGTGGCCATCTTGTGTCCACATAGGGGCAGCTATCTTTGACCACATGGGGGCAGCCATATTGTGTGTTGGAGTGATGGTCAATTTACATATTATCCTTTTATTAGATATGATAGAGGCCTGGTGCTCAGGTGGGGGGCAGCTGGTTTGCCCTGAAGGGTGTCGTGGATCAGGGTGGGGGTTCCCTTGGAGCATTGAGTGACCTAGGCGAGGGGCCTGTGGTGGTTTGCAGGCCAGCCACATCCCCTAAGCCTTCTGCTCGTTCTGTGGCCACAGCCATTTTTATTGGGATTTATTTATCTTCTACAATTGAAATTTTGTAACCTTGAGTGGAGTCGTGGGCCTGCCAGAGTGTGTGGGGAAGCTTGGCTTCCTCCATTGCCAGGAAAGCTTACTCTGTAGCCACAGCTATCATGGTTGGGTTAATTTGCATACTCGCTCCTGATTGGCTGGTGGGTGTGGCTTAGGGGTGTCACAGAGGTATGGTCAATTTGCATATCAATCTTTTATTAAATAGGAAGGATATATATATATTAGAGACCCATGAAAATTCATGCACTGGAGGGGGTGGTGTCACTCAGCCTGCCTGTCCCCTCTCACAATCCGGGAGCCCTCAGGGGCAGGAGGTGATCATACCTCTACTGCTGCCACTGCCAGCAGTGCAAGCCTGGCTGGCCCTGGTTACCTGAATTTCGGGCAGCTCCGGGAAGCTAGGCACTGCTATCTGATGGTTGCCTGTGCCTCACCCTGGATGGCTGGGCAGCTGACATCCTAGGTTTGCCTGTGCCTCAGGCATCAGCTGGGAAGCCACCATCAGAGGCTTGCCTGCACCTTGGGCCAGCCCTGGGTGCCTGGGGGACTAAGGGGACTGGGCACTGCCATCTTGTGGCTGTGGGAACCACCATCTTTGAGGGCAATGGCAGTCAATTAGCATATTCCCTCCTTACTGGCTGTGGGCACAACCATCTTTGTGAGGTAATAATGATCTATTCCCCCTTCATTAGATAGGATATACATATTGATTTCAGAATGAAAGGGGGAGGGAAAGAGATAGAAACATCAATGATGAGAAAGAATCATTGATCAGTTGCCTCCTGCATGTCCTCCAGAGCTCCCAACCTGGGCATGTGCCCTGACCAGGAAATGAATCATCACTTTCTGGGTAATAGGTCAATGTTCAATCACTGAGCCACACCTGCCAGGCTACAAAAACATTCTTAACAACTAAATGAAAACACTCAATGTGTCTCTCATCTTGTCTCAGCATGAGATACTCATGGCCCTATTCTATAAGAAATTTCCCATATGTAGTTCTACATGGTTATTAAAATTTAGCTAAAATTTCTATTCTGAAGTTGTTTGTAGCTAAATTAAAAAAAAGAATTCAGTCAATTACATGATTCCTTTTATCTCCATAAGGAAACAAAATTAATTTCTCAAGGAAGGGAAAAGAAAAAATAAATGTTTCTCAAAGGAAGAAAAAATCTCTTGTCTGGGGACTCATATAGAAAACACAATAATGCAAACTGTCATGAAGTTCTTCGTTATTATAGTAGCCTTTGATGAATGCTTATAGCATAAAATCAAACTAAAATTCTATGTGGGACCTAGATAGTAAATCCAAGTACGCATTTTTCCAGTAGCCTCGCTTCATTTAATGCTATGACCCAAATAGGTTTTTATAAATGTGAAACCTATAAAACCATCCCATAAAATTAATTTTTAAAAATAGGCCTTTCATAGGAATTGGGTATCAGTAAAATCAAGGTTATATTATATAATTTGAAGAATAAGTATTAGAAGTATCCTAGTATATCGAGGGTATGTATTGGGAATCAAATGAACAAGTGCCTGATACATGACTAGTTAGAAATTTTAAGGACTATACACATACCTAAGACAGAGCAGTTACACTCAAAAGATTCACTCTTTTTTTACTCATCTATCTAATAATGATAATATATTTTGTTTTTATACTATTTGTATTAGTATAGATGCTCTAAGCAAACCAATTACATGAAAAGCCAGATTTATATGAATTATAAATTAGACATTAATAATAAAATTTTTCAAAAGGATTCTCTATTTATAAAATGACTAAAAATTCAGTTCACTATATAACATTTTGTTCCACATAACAGTTCTTAAGCAAAGTGTGGTAAAATTGTAAGAAACAGCAAGAAATAAATGACAAATACACAATAACGAACTGACATTTATTGTTCTTGCACTGTGTTCAAAATGCTATTTGAAACACTTCATGAGACTTCATGAGAGTTATTTGAGAATGTGAAATAAAATATAGTTTTGGTAAATTTTTTTTTATTAGAACATAAATCAAGGCCTGTAAAGGTGGGGGACTTGGAGCTGGTCCTGTTTCTCTACACAGGTGACCACTGTGGGGGCAATGGAGCCTCCAGGACTCCCTGGAACAGAGTTTGAGAACCACCTAATCCTGATCTCACTCCCTTGGTTTTCAGACTAGTGGCGAAAGACAGACTAAATAAAACAATATCATTAATAACATAGGAGAAGCCCCAGTGGCAAGGACAAAGGCTGCTGTTGGAGAAATGCTGCCTCTGTGTTTTCATATCCTGTCCTGCTCTCATCTGCTTGATATTTTATGCTACTTTGTACCATATTTATAAAGAATTTGTAAGCTAGTGTAGAAAACTAATAGAAGAACAGCTAGTATGGGACTGGGTTAATGAGACATGAGGGTAGAATTGCTACATGCTTCTCTTCCCTTTTCTCTGAAAATGGGAAAATGAAAAATATAAATATGCTGTTGAAAAGCTCAAAGGGAAATAAAGGAAAACATCAAGAAAAATAAAGCCCGAAGCACAGGAAATAAGTATGTGCCCCCCTTAAAGCATAGAGTGGGTTATGGTCCCAGAAAGGGCTTCTGTACAAGTGGTGTTGAGACTGGTGTGTTCAGTGGGTGATGAGAGACTAAAACACAAAGGAACCCAAGGAACTGTTCTTAGTTGAATATTTATATAACTAAATGGAATATTAAATATTTTTTTCCTTATAAGTTTTATTATCTTTGTAACTAAAGAGCTAAATATCTTGTTTTAATCTGTTTTCCTCCAGGTTGACGTAGACCCTGAAAGACCACCAAGGCCAGAAGTAAAAATCACTGGTCCACAAGAAAATGAGGACAATGAACAAAGCAAAGACTATGCTGTTGTAGCATAGATGGTTTTAAAAAAGAGAGTGTATTGATTATAAGAAAAATGAAGGGCTATAATACTTTAATAATAAGTATATAGTCCTTGCTAAACATAATGTGACAATATGGTTGAAAATTACCTACTGAATTTAAAAACTAGAGGCCTATTGGAAAGACCAGCTACTAAATAGCTACTAAAGGAGAGTGACTTCTCATTATAGGATGTGTTTTTAGAAGTCATTTAGAAAATTAAGAGATTTAGATAGAGGAGAATTTGACCTGGAAGACAGCTGGGTATTTGTTTTTGTAAAGGATGAAAAAGAATGGAATTACTCCTGTTGTATATATTTTTAAAAAATTTAGAAGTGATAATATTTGATGGTAGCCTATGCTAAAGCACTTATCTAAGAAGGCAAAGAATTTTAAACGATAATAGGAAAACGTGTACTATTTTTTAAAGCAATAAACTCCTGAATAAACAATTTATGATTTAGTTTCAGAGATAATTTGGAAATGGCAGTAGATTAAAATGTTTCCATGATTGTTGGCATTCCATTCTTTCTTCCTCCTTAGCCAAAATCCAACTTAAAAGAATTAAAAAGAAGGCAAGGTATTCATTTTGGAAGGAGGAAGTATTCATTCAGTATATTAGTGATTAATATTGTCATATTCCTTCCTTAAGAGCTTCAGGTTTTAATCCTTGTGGCTTTCATAACACATAACTCAGGAAGGAATTATAAAAGAACATCCAGTTATATTACTGAGCCTAGATTGATGGTTTGCAAATTCTGGCATTGTATGGATTTTCAGTGACCCAATCTACCTTTACCAGTAATATACCTCTCTTCTTCTTCATGTTAGGGAACTCAATATTGGCTGTTCTAAAGATTGAATTTGCTCTCATTTTTTACAAAAGGAAAATGTAGGCTTATGAAGAATCTGTCACTACTCAATTTCACTTGCTTTTTGCCTTATTTCTATTAGGATTGCCTTGCCATATTTTGTCCTTAAGGATATCAGCAAATATTTATTTTCAAGCCAGTTATATTTAGATTTTCTAGAAGATTCCTTTCTGTATAATTAGAAGTTATATGATAGAAATTGTTGGGGAAAAAAGTTATAAAATTATCATAATGAAACTAGTTCCAATTACTAGTTTGTGGACTGATTATATTTACTCACGATTGCCTTTTTAGGTTTATATGGAGAAAAGCATTGTTGTATTAGTTTGGTTTTTAATTCTCAAGAGATAAGGCAGGTTTTCCTTAAATATAGAATTAATATATTTTTGTAATATTAAAGAATATTTTGTTATGTAGAAATTATAAATTAAAATTGCTAGTGCTTTCATATAATTCATTACCGATCATAAATTTAAAATATTTTCCCCACCAGATTATATAACCAACCATTTGGAGTCAAAGTAGTTATAGGAAGTACTGAATAATGCTATAGAAAATGAATGTATTTTTTCTAGCAGCTATTTTAATACTTTCCACAAATAGGAAGTAGAAGTAGACACCATAATGTAACAGTATTGGAAAGAGACAATGATATAAGAGTATATTAATCTGGGAGAATAAATTATAAATGGGACGCTATATTTCTAGTTTAAAATCTAGACTCTGCTGTCTACTCATAGGTATATTTTTCAGATGGGACAATAAAAGTACCATAGGCTACACGCAATAATCTTGTGCTGCTAGGGACATAGACTACATGTTTTTTTTAATGTTAAATTCCCATACTGTTACTGAGCCTGGGGTTAACTATTTTAAATCATTTATAAAAATAAGATATTAAATATAATAAATAATAACTAATTGTCAAGGTGATTCTTTCTCTTTTCTTTCTTTAATGAGTTTTTTCTTTCTCTTTTCCTTTTTTAATATAGATATTCTGTGTCTCTTTTTTCTTTTTTCCATCATGCTATAAAGCTTAGATTTGCAGAAACTTTTCAGAATCATCTTAATGGAAAACACTGTTATTTTACATTAAAACCCAAGTTTGGCATTTTAACTATATTTCAAGAAGGTGATAGTCCACAATAACTGGAGCAAAAAATTGAAAAGTGGGGATGTGATATTTCTCTTGTATATGTGTATATGCTAGAGGGGATGAACAACTAATCACTTTTAAAAAAGACTGAAATATGCTGTGTAACCATGGAAGAAATCATTCACAGAAAATAAAAATTGTGGACCTCATTTTGGAGATGACTTTAACATAAATAATGAAAGTTAATTCACCTTTCAAATGTGGAAATTTCTTTGTGTGTGGGAATGGTGCTCTTGGTGGCTCAGAGTAGCTCCACAAATTGAGTCACTGACAGATTTGAGGCCATTATGTGAGTGAGCAATAGAGACCTTGGTTTGGCTTTGGTTATTGTTTTATAGAGAAAGGGGCTATGGATATTCCTATAGCTTTTATGTGCTAACCAATAAAAAGCTTTAAGATAATTGTTTTCAATGATATGTTTCAGTTTTAATTTTATGGAACTCTTTTAATAATCTTAATTTGGTTTTATGACATTTGTAAACAAGTGGTTTGTTAGTTGAATTGGAACATTAGGAGTTTTTCAGATCAAATAAAGGAGATGTTAACTAAACACATAAAGATGTTTCACCTGTTCTAGTTTCACATGTTTCACCATGAACTATTGAGAGTTCATGGACTTCTAGTTATGAAACATGGTACTATGACCATAACGTAATATTTTACTCATTTTTTTTTCCTATGGCCAAAGGGTGTCTTTTTATTTACTATAAACAAAGTTTGTAATTTTAAACATTTAGTTAAATTTATTAAAACATTTTTGGTTATGTTTTTTGGGAATATTTGAATACCAGAATCATATGATACTCCATGCATTCTGTCTAATGCTGAGTGTTAGTTCCTGCTCTAGTCTATAAAGAACTAGCCTATATGTGCGTGTGACTTGCAGTCAGTCAGGTCTCTCTGTAGGCTCACAGTTGTGAAGCTATACTAATATAAAGTTATTCATACTGACTCTTCCAACTTATAGCTAATAAACCAATATCCTAGAAAATATCTCTAAATGACCTACCTTCTTCACAAAAGATGAAGTTAATTCATCTGGGAAACATTTGTGTTTTTAAATTGTGGCTGCAGAACAACAGGAGGGCATCTTTATCTTACTTACTGACTCTCCTACAGAATTTGCTCTATACATTCATTTTTTTTCTCAGTATGTAGCAAAAACAAAATTTCAAAAAGTAGAATAGATTAGTTGTTAAACAGAAAGCATGACATCTGAACTTGTGCCAATCTGAATAGAAATAAACTGCATATATTTATATATGTATAGATATACATATATAAACAGCACATACTTATACAGATGCACTCTCACACTTTAAAATATTGCAAACGCCTCTTCAGGCACAGAGTTGTTAATAAAGTAAGTCTCCTTTGAGAGAATGCATAAAAACACATGAGAAAGAAATGCTAATAAATTACATATATCATGGTGCTTTAAGGCTTGGTTCCCAAAGACTTTCAGAGATATGAAAATCTTCTCAAAATAAGGAAGTTAATACCGTTTTAATGAAAACTTTATTCAAGAGAGGGCTAAATAGATATTTAGTCCTATTTTCCTGAAACAACTAGAGCGTACAGTTTTTTTAGTTATTTTGTCATCACTCTTATGTACCATATACATTAGGAACAGAATGTTTCATACCAACACAGGTTCTGTCAGAAGGTCATTACTGCTTGTGTGTGATTTACATAAATGTAAAAAGGACTCTGCTAACAAGCAGCCAGTTCACTACAAATAGAACACAACTAGACCACTGGCTGTCTAATGTTGAAATTCAGAGCAGAAGCTTTGTAGCTTCCTTGTGTGTATGTGATATCCTAGAATAGACCCATTTTTTTAAAAAAAAAAGGTTAGTTTATTTAGTTTTTGTTATTTAAATATATTTTTGATAAATACTATAAGATTTTTGCTTTGCAGAAAATATCCTGGTATATGGATGAGTCTGATTTTTGTTCTTACCACATAAAATTAGTATATTTCCCACCATGAAGTCTAAGTGACTTGGATGGAGAATGAAAGTGTGTCCCCATAAGTTGATAAGGAAGAAAAATACCATTTATGAAGAAGTATACCATCCTGTAGAATGTGTGGAATCAAGGAAGACTTTTAAAATGTCTGGATAACCATAAAGCATCTATCAAATCAGGAGGTACTTAATGGAGCTAGTTTCATTGATTCAACTTAGCTTAAATCCATGAATGATACCAAATGAATTATCTGTAGTCTCATTAAACCACATTGTATAACCGAGTGAGTTGTGTCACATATGTAATGGCATATGAAAAAAGGGAATGACTATAGTCAATTTTAGAAGAAGTTTGGAGAAAATCTAGTCTGTGTTTTTGCTTCAATGTTTTTCTTGCACTTTAAATCTCTAATATGTACAATGATAATGGGTGATTATCAATGTAGTAAGTAAAGATTAAGTTGAGCTCATGTTTTTTATATGATTTATGTTTAGAATTTCTCTTTGTAAAGAAACTTACTGTTTTTGATCAAATTATGAGCCTTTAGGTTTTTACTTCTATGTCAGTGCTCACTATAAACCATAAAAGTTCATTGTATGTTTTAAGTAAATATATCTGTGTTTTTAAAATTAAAATGGGCCTGGATGGTATATTGTTTGTTTATGATGTTGTGTTGCTAATAGTTCATGTATTAATTCTTTGTATGACATTTTCACAAATACAATAGAAACCTTTTGATTTAAACCATCTATAAATTTAACACATTAAAAGATTATTCTGTTTCTATTTGGCATGTATATTAAACTTCATTATATAAAGAAAGCAATTTGTATATCTTCATATACATATTTAGTTGGTAAACATTTTAGATATATATTTTAAAATCATTGGTTTTTCTTTTATGAAATGGTACTAGAGTGACACAGGTTCAGAAATTTTGTTATGATAAATATATATTTAAAAACAAAGAATAACTTACACACATTACACATTTTAT